TATTAGCCCACCACCCCACTCGCTTCAAATCTTAAAAGATTCACAGATCCTTCAATTCTGTTCACTGGATTTAATTTCCAGTCCGCTGATAATCCTTAGTGATCTTGTCAGAATCCTCCTTGAAAGTGTACTGCCCAGATTTGAACACAATATTCAAGGTACACTCAATTACAAATCACAAAACAATCATTCAATTTTAGTCTGCCTTGGGTCTTACCCAAAGAAAAGACTACTTTTGTACATGCAGCCTAAAATTGCATTTGCCTTTTGTTGCCACATTATCACTGCTGACTCCTATTCAATTTGCAATCTACTGTTCTAGCATCTTTCTCATACTACCTGCCAAACCATTCTATTCCTGTGTACTTTATTTCTGTTTCTTAAGTGTATAATTTTGCATTTGGGCCTGTTAAATTTTATTGCTATTTTCAGCCAATTTTACCTAACCTGTCCAGATTGTTTTCAACTTCATTTCTGTCTTTTAGGGTATTAGTTATCCAACCCAATTTTGGATTAGCTATTAGAATCAAAAAATTGAAGTTATGTATTTTCTTGTTAAAATTTTATTCTCTTCATTGTGCAGTTACTATTTCTTTTCCTTATTCTGAGCATAGTTGAAGAACCTTTTTTTTTTTTTTGGTACAGAAGAGATTGCCAATGTCTTTTTCTATATTTTTTTAAAAAAACAAACAAAACTGCAGTGAAATTTCTCAGGTACTAACCAGCTTAGCTTTCAAGCCCAGTGTCCATCAAATACTGTTACTTTTTGTAGCAGACTTTTTGTAACTAGAAAATTTGAATGGATAACGTGGATAAATATGGATCATTTTCAGTACAATACTGCCAAGTGAAACACCTTAGTTAATTCCTTTCATAACGAAATATTGGCTTACCAAAGTACTTACAAATTTCTTTGGATCATATCTATCAGCAATCCTTCTGTTTTCTTCCTATTTACAAGGTACCAGACCATCCCACCAAAATATTTTGTTGAACGTAGCAGATCGTATTTTCCATATTTATCAATATCTTCATATGTCTGATGATGAACCTGTTCAGATATTTAAACATAATATTTATAATTCTTAATGCATTTAAGTTTCCAGAAATGTACAGTAGAAAAAGTTAGCAAACGTTTTAGAATATCTGTAATCCTGCAGAACTGTGACTTGTATTGTGATCTTCATCTTAGTTCTATTAATAATAAGATGATTGAACAAACAGTACCAAAAACAATATGTTGTGTCATGCATGTATTGAAAACATTAAGCTCATGTTGTTATCTTTCTGAGCAGTGATTGTCCAACAAAAATCACCCAAAGAGCAAAGCATACTCCAGGAGGTCACTAACCACAGGATAACAGCAAATGAATTGCAGGACACGTACACATTTTCTAATGCAAGTCTTCATAAGTCTACTAGAAGGATTCCTAATCTTTTGGCCACCACACCTCCCTGTAGTGTAATCTTAATGTACACATCTCCCCTACAAAATCCAAACACCAAAATGAACACAAATGAACAATTAAAACAATACAATGAAACTCTGGGTAAGGTGGATTTATTGTAGCAATGTGGCTAAGAGATTCTTCATGGCTCCTCTGGACTCTGTCTATGCTTCCCCAAAAGAGGTACACCACGCAGTTTGGGAAAACCTGGTCTACCATAAAGAAAACACTTAACAAGAATGATACGCATGGGTGGATAGCCAGAAAGAAAACATTGCTCTCCAGAAAGCTCACTGACGCCTATCTCAAGCTGCCTTTTCTGTGGACAAATGAGATGAAAGTGAACTTTTTGGTATTAATGAGCAATATCACTTGGACAAAACAAAATGCTGCATTCCAACAAAAGAAACTTAAGCCACCCATTAAGCATGGCAGTGAGAATATTATGTTTGGGGCTGTTTTGCAGACTCAAATCCTGAATGGCTTGCAATAATTGAAGGAACAATGAATTCTAGATTGTACCAACAAATTCTACAGGATGGTGGGGTATTTGTTCATAAGCTTAAATGTTAATCACGCAGCACAACAGTTCCAAACACAGAGAAAATGTACAACAGAAGGGCTGTATAAGAAGAAATTTTGCCTTGTGTGGAATAGTCAAATCAAAGCCCTGACTTTATCCCAACCGAAATGTGCCATGACCTAAAGCAAGTAGTTCAAGCAAGACAGCCTCAAAATATTAATGAGCTGAAGCAGTTCTATAATTCAGAATGAGCCAAACTACTTCCAAGCTGATGTGATCAACTGGTACAGCCAGGAAATGTGGTTGAAGTCACTACTGCTAAAGAAGGTGCCACTAGTTACTAAATCTAAAGCTTCGTGTATTTTTTCCAAAGACAGTAAACATTAGCCCGAGGTGTTTGACATGATAGTACTTATTTACTATACTGTTCATCACTTTGCCAACTATACAATGTCACCCCAGGCTGTAGGGGAAATGCTATTGATATCCCAGTGACTGGAGACTGCAAGGATCTGGATGGGAGAGAAAAAGCTGAAGCTGAACCCAAGCAAGATGGAGGTACTGTTATTTCTGGAAGGCAAATGCTCTCTTTCAAATGCAGGTTCATGATTTGGGCATCTGCATGGGGTCCTGACAGTAGTAATTTACGCCCTCATGCACTCTACATGGTGCTGCCTTTCAAGACCATTCAGACCCTACAGCTGGCCCATGATGCTGGGAACATATTCTATCTGTACTACAGGCCTTATATTGGCTAACAGTCTGGTACAATTTGAAGTTCTGGTTTTGACATATAAAGCCCTTCATGGCTTGGCACCCTACAGGGCCACTTATTCCAACCTAAATCAGGCTAACCTGCTAGGTCATCCAGGGAAAAACTGCTCTTAGAACTCCACTTCCAAGAAGTGAAGGGAACTGAGGTCAGGAGATGCTGCTTTTCAGTGGCAGCACTGATCCTCTGGAACAGTAGAGAAACCAAACAGTTCTGGAGAGCATTCTAACTAGCCAGGGAATGTTAGCAATTTTTATCTTTATTTCAACTTTATTGTTATTTCTTACTGTTAGTTTTCTCTTGGTTTACTTGGACTTTATGGTTTTTTTAAAAAATAACTTACTCTATTTTAACCTTACCATGGATGTTTTAATGTTTCTGCATTGAGTAAGCTATCAAGAGTTGCTTGGATTGTGGCAGGATAGAAGTGAAATATATAAAGAAATAGTTTGCCAAACCATAATTTCTTTATCTATTAATAAGGCTTAAATGAAGTTCAGATCCCACTGTCAGTCAACAGTACTGCAGAACTATAGATAGCGCTAAAGATTTCACAAATTTCTTTTAGTGTACAGTATACTGGCGAGCAGTTCCTAAGTACCACCTCCGTTGGGCAATACTGACAACTCACTCTGATATAATCAGATGAATCTGGCTCAAACTGCAGAAGGCAGCGGTCAAGGAGTTCTTCATGACGGTCCTGAAGAAACATATTCTAAAACAAGAAATATTGTACAAGAATGAAAGGTAGCATTTCATGTCAAAAACTTTGGCTTAAACTTTCCACAAAGAAGCAGTTAGGAGAATGTTTAGTCCAGTTCTACAGTAAGATTCTAGGAATAAAAGTTGTTCAGGTATGTATATCAATAGTGTTCAAATGAAGGTGGACAGTCCCAGTTTCACCAGGGAATCATTACTATTCCTGTGTTAATGCTCCATACCAGTGGTTTAATGTCAACTTAATAATCAAAATCTTAAACTGACCTCAACTTATTAATCCAGTTAAACTAGGAAGTAAAACTGAGAGCTAACATATCCCAGGGTTCATACTCAAATGTTAAACTATGGTTTAGCAATCCAACTAAGTCACTCTAAAGACTGTAAGAGGAAAATTAATGTTCTTCCTGTATTTACCATTGCACCATTTTTATTGCTGAATACAGACGAAGGGACAATTTTACGGCCTTCTTTTGGGAAGTAGATCTGTATCATCCTGTCCCGTTCCTCCCAAGTGGCCTTGCGTAATATTCCATTTGTTTCTCGAACTACAATGAACCGTTCCTGAAATTGGAGAAAAAAAATAGGTAAGCTACAATTTTATCACCAGTGCCACTAATTATTTTCATTGGAAAGCAAATAATATAAAATATCAATTGGCTTTCAAGAAATTCCTAGCAGCTATCTGAATGGGTAACATATATATTGGATTTGTATAAAAAAGACTATAGCCATATTGAAATAACTCACCTGAAATACCCTAATGTTGTTGTTTCAATGGGAAACAAACCAATTTAGGAACTAACTTGCTGATTCAATTCTTCTATACTAACCTATTTTTGCCTTTCCAAAAGCAGTGATAAATAAGGTAGTTACAAATTTGCAAATTAGGCACTGAGGTTTCATGTAGAATTCAGTAGCCATTTTCAAATTTTATTCTGCAAATATTATTCTATTTTAAAGCCAACTGTACTAAGAGACATAGAACCTTGTACAGTAGTATAGTGTGGAATTCTAAATGTTCATTATGCATACATTTGTTTTCTGCTAGAATACTGCAAAGAGAAAAGAGCAGGCAATTCAGGTGTGGGAAAGCCAAAAAGAAAATAGCTAGAAAAAGAACTAAGATCAGTTACCTAGTATGGCTCAGCCAAGCCAACCTTACATTTTATGAGAATACAATGTCACAAAGTGCCATGTACTGAAGATCTCTATATGATTTCCCATAAACCCATCAGTGATATGACAATATGAAAACCTCAGTTACTGAAGTTAGTCCTAAAAATAAGCTATTAAGCTATTGCAACAGTTCTGTGTACATTTGCTGTGCCGTGCGCCCATAGAACACTGTTTATCAGTGAAACTGAAAATAGGATTAAGCCACACTAAATTCAGAGTTATTACTATAGGATATCTAAAAGACTTACACGGTGTGGGATGTCATATGTTAAATCAGTAAATACATATTTATAAGGTTCAGATCCATCAAGAATCTTGTCCTCAGATAATACATCATCAATTGGTTCCCGTTCATTCAATACAGGAGGCATTTTGAGACACTCTTTAGCCTTCTCAAGAGCTTGTTCTGAAGCCTAAGAAAAAAAGCATGTAATTAATTGCACAGCAAACAAGCCATCATGTCTTCTATTTATGGTCATAAAACAGTTGAAATACCTTCTCTAGCTGAGCTTCTGTCATGACTTTGTATACAGGAGGCTTAAGTTCTTGTTTTCTTGCCTTGAAAATCTTCTGCAAATCTATCCCTGTCATCTTGAGGAGTAAGTTCTGAACTTTCTCATCCATGAAACAAGGCTTTTGAACATCAGTTTTAGTTTCTTCTGAAAAACAAACAGTTCATCCAAAATACAGAAAAGCTAGAACACAACAGCAAAATATTAAATTATAGCCTGAAGGGGAAAAATGAACTTTTAATCAAATGTTAGTTAAAACCCTATATGCAACTGGGAGTAAGCACAATACAAAGGAATTATACTATAGATTTATGGGCTGAGGAACCATATTGTGGATAAAGAGGAAAGAAGCCATGGGGAATAAACAGAAATCCAAGGCTTTGCAGGGCTCATTCTTGAAAGGCAGAACAAGATACAGGCACTTCATATTGCTTAATTTATATTTTCCATCTTATTGATCCCAAGAAAGGGAAAATAAATACATTACTTCCAATTCTCTCCCATTCTAGTGAGAGATATAAAGTCTAGCCCGGCATACCCTCCCTTTTATCTTCTCCACCAAAGCGACAATAGCAGAGCTTTCTGCTATCACTACAAATCCAGAGTAGACTTTCCTATCCACCTGCAGGTGATACTATATAGCCTGTGGTTCCTGGGATGCCTTCCCAAACTATAAGACAGTCTTCCCCAAACAGGTGCCCACTTGAAAGTTGCAGCCCCATCACAGCTGAAGGGCACAAGCATGAAGACTTCATATTTCAAGGATATAAATAAATTTTGTACAACAAATATTTAGTATGAAAGGGATTATAATCTTGATTAAAGGAGTGTTGGAGTCCAGCATACTATTAACAATTACTATTTGTTATTAACACATACTATTATTAAAATAACCTTTCCCTCTATCCAAGGAGACATGAAATCAAAAATGGCTTACAGATTTAAAAACAGTAAAATAAAGAGCAAATCACTATCCTAAATAAGTGGTTGTTACCCATAATTTGTCAGTAGTCACAGAATACTATCCTACTTTATCTTATAACGCACAAGAAACATGTCTTTGGGAACCAAATTCTGATGACTTCAGGCTCATGGACTCACAGCAAACTAAGAGGCTCAGAATCACACTATTCACTAGATGACCACAACATCATGAGATGGCAGCATGCATGAAAGCATCAGTGCAGAGATACAAGGAATGGTATACACATTCCTTAAATAAATGAATACATTTTAACCATGAAGGATCTTTTTTAGACCTTAGGGCTGTTGCTCTTTCATATTACCCCTATAAAATACATTCTTTTATTAGGATTCCAGCTGAGCAAAGGAGCACATGTTTTTCACCTAGATCTCAGTTTCCTGTTACAGGTAGCAGTTCAGTACTAAGCCTTGTGTATTGGTTTGAGATCCAGGAGAGCCACAGAAAATCAAAGTACATAATATTATGATCTGGAAGTTGAGTCATGGCAACTGGACTTCTTTTCTTTTGATACATTTCACTGCTGGTCCAAGCAGCTTCTTCAATATAGTCTAGCCTAGACTGAAGAAGCTGCTTGGACCAACAGTGAAATGTTACCAAACCAAAAGAAAAGTCCAGTTGCCATGACTCAACCTCCAGATAATTCCACCTGGATGACTGAGAATCTTCATCAGTAATATTATGATGTATGAACAAATAGCCTGATTAAGCAGCTTCCTGTCTTCACTTTTAATTTTTTACATGAATCATAATCTGTCATAAAGAAATGTAGGATATTGCAAAGCAATATTTCCTAGTGATATCAATTCAACCGCCTGCTTAGTAATAAGATCCCAAAAGGATGGATCCAGATGAAGTGAGGCTTGGTCCCATTACATGAATAAGATCTTAAGTCAAAGTGATTTTGAAAGAAATAATTTCAACTTGAAAAGTGAACATTTTCCCCAACCTGATGCCTCCAAAGGTCTTGCACTTCAACTCCTGTAATCTAGGGCTACAATATCTGAGCTGCCAAAATCCTGACTAGTTTTCTTTCTCTTTGCTGCCATCTAGTGGTAATCCGAATTTTTGCTGCTCAAATAGGATCGCTCCACATGATTTCTAGTAAGCGGATGGCAGGGTTGCGGGTGCTTGAACTGAGTTACCAGACCGGGTTGCAAAAATCCGGACGGCGATTAGATGACAGCAAAGAGTTTACTGCATCTCACTGCTGCTACTTAATGGTCTTCTGGATCTGTGCAGCCTATATCAGGCAGCGCCATGCAGGAAATCCAGTACTTTGGGGAAAGGCGGTGAGTCTAACGCAATGGGAGGACGTTCGGGTCGACTCCAACCTTTCAACAAGGTCGCTCCCCTCTGAGTAGTCTCCCATACTCTGCCATTTCTACACCTAAGAAGCGGCCACTTTCTGAGGGCCCCCAAAACTCACCTGCATCCGAGCCTTCACAAAACCCCCTCCATCCCCACGCGGCCCGTAGCGGACACCTCGGAAGCAACCAAGCCACCTTCCCGCTTCTAACGCACCAGGATACTCCAAGCGAAGCCATGCTAAATTGACCCGGAATGGCTCCAGCTACCCGTTCCGGAGAAGCACGCAGTGTGTCCTGGGAAATGTAGTCTGAAAGGATTCGGTCGCCGCCTCGACATCGCGGCTTGGTGATCACCCTCCGCGGTCTGAGCAGAAGAGCGTTGGGGAGTAGGCGGTCGCGTTAGTGAGTCCGAAACGGATATAGAGTTGCTTTGAAGGATCAAAAAAACAAATAAACAAAATAGACGGGGGATTTAAGTAGGAAAAAACACTCAAACTGTATTTTCTCAACGCGCTGAGCCACGGTGTGCATAATAATGGCTTCGTGAACAAACTGCGGTTTATAAACCATACTGGCTGGGTTCTCACAACTCTCTAAGCGAAAATGTCTTTTTAAAAAATGGATTAGTGTGTTACGCGAATTTAATTTTTTAAATAGAAGACATCAAACTGAAGATAATCGATTTGCCCCATTCTGGGTTACCCTGTTCTATTAGATTTATACCAGCTTTCAAAATTCAAGACAAACGTATCACCTCTTGTCTCCATAGTATACATTTCCTACAAAGATGAAGGTCCCTGATGTTGCAATTTTAAATGGAAAGTACTGTATGGAAAGGGGATGGCAAACAGCGGTGCTGCTTAATCCCTCTCCCTTGTGCCAGGGGGAAAAAAAAGACATTGTAAGGGAAGTGAGCCAAATCAGAAAATTGGGAGTAAGTGATGGAGTTAAGAATTCTGCCTCTAGATCAGATTGCAGCATTAAAGGGAGAATTTTGGCTACTTTCCACAGTGCAGTAAGCCACATTATGTGGTTTGTGTAAGTCAAATAGTTCTGGATCTGCAGATAGGATTCACTTACTGTGCTAATATTTAACTATGACTAATAATAGATGTATTCTAAACATAGTTTATAGTGGGTGGATTTACACTGCATTTAATCATACTAATAATTTGAATCCTACTCCTGCAAAACTACTGGTTAGAGTTTAAAAATGTACACTTTTACAAGTTTTGCATAATTCATAAACATCTTACTAGGCTTCTGTTACACTCTCAGAGGAGACTGCTGTAAACTGCTTTAGGCGAGGTCAAAGAGTCCCCCCGCCGCCCCATGGATGATATTGCTAGAAAATATTATGTAATGCTGTGACACTTCCTTGATTTTGAGAGAAAGATCAGGAGTCTGGTAGCACCTTTTCCAACTAACACATTTTATTAAAAGGCATAAGCTTTCATAAGCTTTCAAGCTTTTAATTAAATTTGTTATCTGGATAAGATGCTACAAGACTTGATTTTTTGCCACCATAGATTAACACAGTTCTTGTCCTACATTGAGGGAAAGAGGAACTGATAAAAGAACAAACTGAATTCACATTTGAATAACTTTTCAATAGTTTATATTTATATATAGGAATTAAGCAAGCAATTATCTTTTCACCAGAGCAGTGGCCTCCAAAGTAGTGTGCTTGCTACAGATACAGAAATATAACAACATCATCTGCATTTCTAAGAAAAATCCTTAATCTTTTTCACAAGTTGCCTTTACCTGCATCTTAATTTCTGCCCTCTGATCACTGGGAATCTTGGACCACGAAATGTAGAACACTTGTGATCAGGATTTTCAAGCAAGTTCCCACTCACTGAACAGCTTCCCTGTGTAAATCTTCAGATGTTGCAATCAGTATGTGGAAGTCAGAAGTGGAAATGAAATAAGGAAACCCAGAGAGAACAATTGTGAAATGATTTCAGGCAAAATATATGAATTTAATCATTAATCCATCCAGGTAGCTTCAAGACTTCATTCTTCTCCTTCTTTGGACTTCATCAAAATCCTTTCAGGGAGTTGTTAATAAATCATTAAGTAAGCACTTAATAAACCATTAAATAAACAGTTTGTAATGTAAATCATTATAGAGTGGTACCTCAGGTTACAATCTTAATCCGTTCCGTGACTCTGGTCGCAACCCGATTTGGTCACAACCTGAAGCAAATTTTCCCATAAGGTTCAATGTGATTACCGTTAATCCGTTCCAGCGTCCGTGGACCACGCGGCAGGGGCGGAAAAACGGCTGTGGACCACGCGGCAGGACGGAAAAACGGCTGTGGACCATGTGGAACGGGCGGAAAAACGGCCGCAGACCACGTGGAATGGGTGGAAAGTGGCCGTGGACCACGTGGCACGGGTGGAAAAATGGGCACGGACCACGTGGAACAGGTGGAAAATGTCCACGGACCACCTGTCACGGCGGAAAATGGCCGCGGATCCGGTTCGTAACCCAAGGTAAATTTTTGTGGCCGGAGCTGGTCGCAACCTGAAAAGTTCATTAGCAGAGGCGTTCGTAACCCAAGGTACCACTGTAAAAACAGTTTTATCTTAATGGCAAAAAACTTTTCAACTTGGGAGGCCTACAAATCCTTTGAAACAGATTATGCAAAATGTATTATGTGAAGCACCTCTTTCTGAATCATAAAAGCAGCAATGTGATTTTCCAGATTTGTGCAGCCCACTGAAGAATGGTACATACACAAGCATGTGGAAACAGCCAGATGTAGCTTACAAATTCACCATGTGACTGAAAAATGATGCAGCTGCTCTGGTGATTTAAAGATGTGCTTTATATGTGCACCTATGGCAAAGCACCTCTTTTGGAGGATTTGGAGTAGCCCTATAAATCAATAATCAGAGTTAGCTGGTAAAACAGAGTGATGGGAGGCAAACTGCAGGGTCTGCATACTACTTTGGCTGCAGGGTCACACTCTTAGGCCCTGTGGAGGCCTTTTTGACAAGGCTGGGCAATTTTTTTAAAAGTTTGAAAGGGAAGTAGAGAACAGTTTGTTTTTTATCATTTGGTCAAAAGCTTTCTAGAGGGAGTGTTATATACCCTACTAGGGAATTGGGAAGATATTTGGCTACAGGCCTAAAAGCCACTCCAGTCCTGTACATGTGCCTGGATGGCAACCCAGAGTTCACTTTAATTCACAGAAGTGCTTAGGAAAACAATAGAATTTATTAAGTTAGATCCAGGCAAAGTTAAAATCATATTCATTTTGAACTTGAGTGGTAACAGCTGCTGGGAGGATTAGCTTTGCTGGCACTTGAGATAAAGTTAATTCTCTATACATTGATATCATAGATGAAAATGTATTTAGTTCATAGCAGTCCCAAAAGATCATGCATTTAAGTCACAAAGCCAGATTCTATGCTTTTCAGACACTTCTAGAAATAATCAGTGAGACCTAAGAGATATATTGTATTTCTGGTGAGCATAAAGCAAACATGTAGGAGAAAAATTGTGAGGTGTCTATGGGGCAGCTGTTAACATTTGGGAGGAAGTATCAAGGTTTTAGTGTTTGTGCCAATGATACAAAGTTGAGAGGATCCAGATCTTCCGGTCTTCCCCTCCCCCCCCAAATTTATGTATTTAAATTTATTTATTTATTTATCTAAATCAAAAAAGTAGTATACCTGATATTAAGAACTAGATTCAAGTGACAAGTAATTTATCTATTTTTGAAAAGGCAATTTTAACTACTAATAAAAAAATGATGCAATATGTTTTCCTTTGGCACAGATTTCATGACATTTTGCAATTATAGAGTATTATTATTTATTCTCTTTAATATAGATTTAGAAACTTTGTTGTTGACTCAGTAGTAAACAGAGTAGGTATTGCATTGCAGCTATGGAAGTAAGCGGGACATAGGACACACAATTAGAACACCACACAACATGATGATAAATCCGTGAGTGAGGCAGAAAGGAGTGTTGGCAGGAATAAGTCTTGGCATGTTTCAAAACCTTTGACACAAATTGTCTATACTGGCATAAATCACATAATAGCATTTTTTTTCATGAAGGAAATTCTGGAACAGAAATGCACAATTTCGTAACAGTGAATTTGCATAAAGCAAGGGAAGCCTTTATTGTGTTTAAAAAGAAAACTGGTCTGGAACTACTTAATAGTAATCAGAGATATATTTTGAAAGAAAAACACTAGGCGGCACTGTCTTCCTTCATGTGGTAAGCTGGAGTGATCACAATGATCACAGTAGTATTAATTCCATGCATCACAAAACCTTCAGAAATACAAATTTATTTTAAAATATTGTGTAGAGTATTACATTTGCAAAAGCAAGCAATGTTAAGTGATCAGATTCTTTTCTTCTAAAAATCATTGGTGTGCTTTACTTGTAGTTTTCTTACAAGCAGAATTTTATTTATTGGGTCAGCGCAGAATGAGTTCAGCATGTGCCTCCTTTTTGTCAAAGGAAAGCCCAGATAACTGCTAAATATACAGGGCTGGAGGAGACAGGAAAGGAATTTTAAATCCCTGATATCATCAGAACATTCCTTAGACAACAGGAAGGAATGAAATGGTTTGTGCTTCCATGTCCTTCTAATGAATCATTTACACAAATCTGGAGCTTTGAAGGGAAATCATACTAAAAGAAATCTTAAAATTGGAAGTAAAAGTGGAGAGATACAAGATTGAATGCAAATTGCTAGTATCAGAGCAAAGGAATCTTTAAAAATTTGGATGAAGCTAGAGCCATTTCTACTCCTATTATCCTAAGGAATGTATTACAGTACAAACAAATTTTATTAAAATTACTGGAACTGAATTCTGAGTAAACTTGCTTTAGTGTAAAAACACATTGTGTTACTGTTCAGAATTTTAATGCTGGAAGGAATGTAGATTTGGATTTTTGACATCATGTTGATTTTCTGGGACAAAAGATGACAAGGAAGGTAGTCCATAGCTTATCATAGGGGTAGGCAATATTTTTCAGCCTGGGAGCTGAAAATTATACTTATGTACATATTGACTTTGGAGGATCAAAGGGAGTCATATCAAGTGATACAATAATATCACCAGGTACATCAGGCTGGATGACATAAGGGTGGAAATAGATGTCTTCTACCTCATACAACTTTACATACCTATTTCTACAGTTATTTGGAGGGAGCGGGGAATCAAGTAAAAACACAACACTAAAAAAAAAACTGCTGGGTTTCTGCTG